CAGGAAGGGGCCCCGCTTGCCGCCGCCGTCGTCGGGCTTTGTTGAGCCGCCCGGCTCCGAACAGGATGTCTCATTGTTAGAGGAAACAATTAGAAATTCATCGTGAACCGTTGGCCTCCAGGACCGGCCAGGGCGGCGGGGCCGGGGCTGCAGGCAGCTGCCAGCTCCGTCCTCAAGTGACTCTTGGAGGGGGATGCCGCCGGGCTTCGCCAGTGTTGGGGCGCCGTGCCTTTTGGGGAGCAGCGTGTTGCAGAAGCTGGAGGAGGTCTTCGGGATCCCCACGTCTTCCAAAGGGCTGCTGGGTGCAAACCTGACTTCTGTAATGGCCCTGGAAAAGGGGCTTGAGGGCAAAGAGTCTCTTGACAGCCCCCTGAGCCAGCTCGTGCTACCCCGCGGGGCACGCTCAGGAGCTGGCAGGTCTGTACCAGCCAAATACAGCAGCATCACGCCCGCAGCTGGTCCCCGCAGACCATCCCCTGCCTGGAAACAGAGTGGAATTAGGGCTGGAAAAGGGAAAAGCGAGAGTTTGTGGGTTTGGGCCTGCGTGCCGTTGCTGGTCCTGCCCCCGTTGTTGTGGGGCTGTGTAAGTCAGTGGTGGCCGTGGCTCAGCAAGGCAGAAGAGTGATGCTTTGGGGCCACTGGGGGGGATGCTGAGCACCCATAAACCTCTGGGCAGGTGTCTTCAGGGGCCTGAGTTAGGACAAGGGATGTGTGGACTTGCCTGTCGCGGAGGGCGGGCGCTCCGGTGCTGGCAGCGAGCGCTGGGTTTTCCCTCCTGGCCGGTGGAGTTGGTCTGGTTGGTGAAGCATGAAGCTGCTGAGGGTTTTCATTTGTGTCTCTCTGCTGCTGAACGGGGGCTGTGGCCCTGCCTGCCACCCCTGTTCTGCTGGGAAGAGCAGGGGCATGACTCTTGCTTTGGACCTGCCTCTTTCTGGGGACCTCTGCGGTGGCCCCATGGGGACAGGGCAGGGAGAAAACCCACCCCATTGAGATGGAAATGAGCTGGAGGCACCAGCTCTGTTGGGTCGCTCTTGTTGGAGCTATTGTGCCTATTCACTGGCACGAACACTGACTAATTTTGGCTTTTCAGGTGGGAGAATAGCCCTGGCCTCCCACCAAAGGCAGAGGAGAAGAGGGAGGATGCCTGGAGCCCCACACTCCTCAGGAAGTTCAGGGGCTGCGGGTACGCCTGGGTGGGAGGGGGCCGTGCTGGTGTCCTGCCTGGCCTTTGTGCAGCCCCATTAACCCAGATTTAATGGTGCCTGAGGAATTTGCCCTGAGCCCGTGGCCTGCTGGAGGAGGGAGGATGTGTGCTCAGCAGGGGCTGAGCTGGTCTGGATGTCTGGGTCGCTGTGTGTCCCCACGCCGCCTCAGGTAGTGACAGCAGAGCAGGTCAGGCGTCCCCAGTCCCCGTGGGCTGACCTCCCTACTTCTCCCCTCTGGGCTGGGAGGAAAATCTGTTGTAAATCATCAGATGGAGGTGTGGTGTGGCACTTGGGGATGCAGGATGTGGACTCCAGCTGCCCCTCCGTAGCTGCTGGAGCCCGTCGTCCATCTCTGAGGCTTTGATACACGTGGGGGTCGTTCACCTCCGCTTCAGGTCCGGGAGGGGACGGCTCAGCCCCAGGCGGCTCGGAAGAGCTGGTGTTTGGCCTCCGTTATCCCCTGCCCTGGTTAATTATGGGCTTTTCTGAAACGGAGTGGGAGAACGGATGCTAATGGCAGCCTGGTATTGACAGAGGAAGGCAACAGGAAGGTTCCCCACGGGATTGTCATTGTGGGGAGAAATACAGGGGTGGGGGAGCCGGGGTAGGCACCGTGTTTCTCCTGGAGGATGACCTTGCTGGGTGCTGGGGTGTGGGACAGGAGTTAAACCCCGTCCCACCGAGTGCCCAAGAAGCACCGGGGGTGGGACCGGAGTGCTCAGCTTGTATCTTGCCTGGGTCAGGCTTAGTCTGTGTGATACAGGGCGAGCAAACCCCCGGTCCTGCTGCCATGCCTCGGGGCTGAGCAGACACCCGGGAGCTCTGCTCCTCGAAGGGCGGCAGAGCCGGACCCGTGGCGTCGGGGTTTAGATGTGGCGCCCGGCTAAGGAAAGGGGTCCCCCAGCCTTGGACACGTGCATGCTAATCCTGGCTTAGCCCCCCCCCCGGTAAGGATAATGCTTGGCATTTTACACGATGGTGCTTCGGGATGAAATGAGTCTGATGAGTGAATTCTCGCTGTCGTCCTCGGTTGGATGCGGTTGCATGGCTGAGGGTGACTTGGAAAGGGCTGGGGGGCAGAGCTGGCGTGGGGCAGCAGGGCAGAGCATCCCGGGAGGGGCAGGAGGAGCATCAGAGCCCTGAGTTCATGGCATGGACCGCAGGTATCGTGTCCCCTTTCTGTCACCTTTCTACCCAGAATGGAAACATTTCCCATCCCTACTTTTTTCTTCCATTTTGCCTTTCTCTTTTATCTCTTCTACCGTGCCCAGTGCTTGAAATAGCCCTGGCTGCTGCACAGCAGCTGCAGGTTCTTCCTCTCCTGCCCTTTGGTGGGTCCTTGAGGTTCCGGTATCTCACGTCTGACTGATGGGAAGAGGAGTGATGAAGGGCTTTGCACCGAATAAACCCTTCCTGAACCCTCCCCAGCTGCTTCCAAGCTGGGAAGTTTCCCCACAACCCCTGCTCTCCCTTTTCTTAGCCATTGCAATTGGAGGGAGAGATCGGGGCTGCAGCAAGACACAGCAGGGAACGTGCTGGGCAGGGGGAGTGCCATTGTTTGGGGTTTGGCGCTGGATTTCGGGGCCCCCAGGCACTTTCTATGGGTGGCCCGTGCTGTACCAGAACTGATCCTGGCAACTCCCCACTCTTTGTGCGCCCATGGACCAG